GGATTAATATTTGCAGAGAGTGGAAGCTGGGCAGGGTGGAAATAGGAAAAGAAGATAAGGATGTGGGATGATTTTTTTTGATCTGGACTGTGTGGTCCTACCTGCATCCCTGCATGGGCTGCGCCCGCAGAGCTCCCGGCTTCTTGTTTTCTCCCAAGAGTGCCGCGGTACCCTGGCCTGCTCCTGGGCAGAGGCGTTTTGTGCCGGTGAACCTTCAGAGCTGCCAATTCGGCACGTTTCCCCAAAGTGAGAGCAGGGAGGAAGGATGCTGTGGTCAGGGCGCTGACAGCTGGCAATGCTGCGAGCGGCCAGCGGGCGACACTGCCGCTCTGCTGCTCAGTGTTGCAAGGCTGCTGCTTGGCTGCATCTTCTCAGCTTCCCTTCCCATCTAGGAGGACGGCTCTGCTCACCTGTACGCCTACTATAGCTTCTTAGCTCGGTGTTTCATGCTTTCCCCCTAAAATAGACCGTGACAGTGATTTTTAGACTGAAACAGGCGTCTGTGCCAAAAGCGGTAAGGACATAGGAATAGGAGTGGGGAGGTTGGAGATGGGGGTTTTGCGGTCACATGTCACTTCTAACAGCTGAATTTGTGTTGTTGCTCTGTCCAAACCCTGTATATATCCTAGGAGAATTTGTTGTATCAACTACTATGTGATTTGGCCAGGTGATCCTCAAAATTTGTTGTTTCTTCTGGGAATCTAGGGTGAAAACAGGAATTCTTAGTAATTTTACTTACTGCTTCCAGTGTACTTGTTGAGCCTTAGTCAGGAACTTGGCTAGAGTTGTCTTAGGTGCTGTAGAAGCAGAGAGCAAAGTGCTGGCACCTGTCTTGGAGAGTGTGAGCTTACAGCAGTGTCTGACCCATCTGGATTGCTACAGCTATGGGAACTGGAGGAGGGTTTGATGGAAACGGAGACTTCGAATCTGAATGACTGTTTTGTAGATGTGGCTGAGCAGGTTGGTTGATCTGGGTTGCTTCTGAAAAGCAGGTGGGAAGGGGACCTCTTTCTCAGAGCGATCTGTCAGTCCCATGGGATTTTTATGCTGGATCAAGGATATAACCCAAGGGGATGGTGGCAGTAATCAAAGAGGCATTTCAGGAGCCCAAAAGAACTTGGAAACCAAAGACTGAATGAACTCAGGGCAACTGTCCTCATTCTGATTTCTCTGCTAAGCATTTATCCGCTTCTAAAAGAAAATAGTTGCTTTGGCTTTACCCCATTTGCGCTTCCTGCTCCCTCCTGCTCACTGACAGCCTGTTTGTCTGTCGGGGATCATGATACTGAGCCTTGGGGGCACCGTTTGTTGTGCCACACATTAAAGACTGTTGGGGTCTAGGGCTCACGGGGATGAGAAACCTCAGCCACAGGTGTTGGTTGTCCCTTCTGTGTGTCCTGACTTAAAGGCGGTGTGAACTCAGCCCATGTGCAGGTACTCAGAAAGGATGAGGGGAAATGGCCTCAAGTTGTGCCAGGGGAGGTTCAGATTGGACATGAGGAAAAAATTCTTTACTGAAAGAGTGGTTAAACATTGGAACAGGCTGCCCAGGGAAGTGGTTGAGTCACCATCCCTGGAAGTGTTTAAGACGTGTAGATGCGGCGCTTAAGGAAATGGTTTAGTGGGCATGGTGGTGTTGGGTTGACGGTTGGACTCGATGATCTTAGAGGTCTCTTCCAACCTTAATGATTCTACTCCCTTTTGGCTTTTTGTCTTACTTGGGGATTTGACTGTAATGGAGCCTGACAGGCATAAGTGATGGGCACCATGTTTTAAGGAGTATATCCTAGTGTAATTTCTAACTTACATGAACAGCAAATGTCTCGGCCTTACTGTA